AGGACAACCTGGTCTGTAGAGTAAGGAAGTTTCTGGACAGTCAGCACTACACAGAAAAATAACCTGTCCTGGGGGGATGGGGAGGGGGGATGGGAAGCAAATACATTATGAACCCAATAAGAAAAAGAATTTGTTCTTAAAAGCCACATCACTCAACAGGAAGCAAAGAAATTGCTACGTAAGAATATTGCCACTTTGGTATCATGTAGCAAGTTCAACATTAGATAATAAAGCATGTCTTCCATGTTATATAGTCCACAGAACCAAAACATGACTCCTCGGTGTTTTGCCAAAAATGGAGATCTATTATCATGTACCTGCACAAACAACAGGACTGAAAGTTGAAAGTAAGTCTCCAGCTACTCATTTTGCTGCAGTTAAAATAACAATTCTTAGAGTGAACGTTGAGTCCGTTTGCTACCCATGGGACTCAGTTGGTGATAATTGGTCACTCCAGGGAAGAATGGGTAAATGAGATCTCTGCCATTAAATTTAAATATTATAATCACTAGAGCAGAATTATTATCCCCAAAGAAGTGCTGAGCCAGCTTTCAGAGAATGCTGGTAGAGTCCTAAAGCTAGCCCTAGAACAGAAGCGCCTTTATTGATGCTAAAAGTCCACTGTTGCTTCTAAGAAACACTATACTTGATTTCTACCCTCTGGGTCTCATAACTCTAGGACCATTGCTTACAAATAATGCAAAGTGTGGTGGCTGCCAAAATTCAGAGCAAAAAAAAAAGATTGGCTATACAATTGTATTCATTAGCTTCAAAGTAATTTCTCCCTTCACAAGTGCCACTTCCCCTAATTCATGACTTCCAGCAAGTGGTTGGAAGTAACAGTCTAGTCAATAGATCTGGGAAAACTTCAAGAATACTTTGTGACATTCATCATCATGGAGATACCTGAGGCAATAGTGGTAAGCCCTGAACCTTTATTAATGCACCAGAGACAAAGCAATAAAGCTAATTTCTTCACTGACTAGCATAACATGGTTCTTACCAGGAACGATTTTGGGTGGTTGTTAAACACGCTGTTACAAACTTAGACTTTCTTATAAATCTGATGGGCCTGAGCTCTGGGGGCATGGACAGAGAAGGAATCAAAAGGGCCAGGAAATTAAAGATGCTTAGCCCCTCAAGCACATGCTACATACTTTTAAGTACTCAGGGCTAGGGCACCTACCCTTGGTCTCGGGACATATTTATACAGAACCCACATTAATGTGGCATTTTGCCAAAAGCAGTTATATAACAGATTACATCATTGTTTACTATTGGGTTCCCCAAGCATCTAGTGATAGCCAATCTGTGCTGACTCATACCCCTGCCTCCCCACTCCCAACTCCCCCACACACTCACCCACAGATGTCCAGCACTAGGCATCTTAGCCAATACTGGATGTCTATATCAGTGCCATGTTAGGTAAGCATGAACTGACCCTATAGCCCTCTGCTCCCTACAACAGCAACTTTTGGGGACTGAAGTTTCTTGATGAAATAAGGAAATATAGTGATTTCAGGCTAACAGAAATATACAAAATAAATACTTAAATTCTCTTTGGAAGAAAATGTGTAAACCAATCAGAAGCTGTTGTTGTGTGAACTTTTATCCTACCAAGCACAACCCTGTAGGCAATGGTTGTGTGTTGGGAGATGCCTTTCCACTATGGAGATCAAGCTATGATATTTCAACCACTAGAAAAGCCAATTAAAACTGATTGGAACCCATTCTAGGATAATCATAGATGATCAGGGTTGTGATATGATAGAAGGAAAACCTGGTAGGACATTTTCAGCAATACAATCATGCATATTAAATGTTTCTACTTACAGAATATTTGATAAGTACATTACTACAAATGTATATGTTCCACATAATTAAAATGTAACATTATAGCCTGATGAAGACATTGGGATAGCAGTATGAAAGACATGAATTAATATGGTCCATATGAGGGTTCTTTAGACCTATCTGAGTTGGGGGTCATACAAAAATATATTGATGCTATTATTTTTTTAGTTTTCACATTAAAATTTACATAAAACGTTAAAAATTAGCAGCATATGCAATTGTTCTCAAGTTAATAGACTTGCATTAACATTCCTGGCAGAAGTTGGTTTCTTGCAGTTGTAGGACTGGGTGTGGCTTTGAGCTAGCCATCGGTTGGATGTTATCTTTGCCTCCTAGAAGCCACCTGCAGCTTGCTGATAGTCTGGCTTTCCCCACTATGGCACTTACCTCACCTATTCAGCAAGGAGAATCCCTACTGTCAGCAAATGTACTAACAAGACAGTTATATTGCCATATTAAGTACAGCACCCCTCACTTTTCATATCCTGTTTCTAGGGAGCAGTCACACCTGCTCACAGAGAGGGGTATTGCACAAAAGCATGAGCACTGAGCAGGAATTCCGAGGAAACTAAACATAAATTTCTTCTTCTCCCAGGTGTCTTCAAGGTTATCAACACTTCAGTGGCATCTAAAAGTCCAAAATGCCATTATATATGTCCATTCGTGTATGGAGGAGATTCCTAGGGTGCACATAGTTAACGCCTGTAGCTCTTAATTTGTGTACTTGTGAAACTAAAAAGACAGTTTTATACTCCAAACACATCCAACATTCAGTGATAGACTAGGCACAATGTAAAAAGCTATCAGCGTGTTGATTTAAAAAGAAGGAGATTGGTCAGGCGTGGAGCATAAGCGTTGCTGCAAGTTGGAGACTAGCCTGGTCTAAAGAATGAGTTCCAGGCTAATAGAGCTACACATTCAGACTTTTTCTCTAAAGAACATAGGTGGGGAGGAAACAGGACATTATAAAACCTTGTCATATAACTAAGAGTTAGTGTTTGGATTTCAAGATCCAAGTCTAAGTCTCCATGGCTATCTCTGTCACCCCGAATTTTTACCTAGTTTTAGCTTCAGCTCTGTGTTGGGTTTTCCTTTATGTCACCATTGAGAAGCAGAAGCTGGAAACCTATTTGGGTCATAATCCCTGCCATGTCAGGAGAAAATCCATATTACTTTGGGGTCTCAGAAAGACTCCAAAAGGGCTTTATTTGACACAGTTAGTTGATCCTTATATTAGATTCTGTGGCTAGGATAGTATATACGATTAGTCAGCCTTGGACAAGCAACTAGCTCAAAAATTAATTTTAGGATCACTCTTACTGGAACTAGATGAACTTTAAAATACCCTATGCCCAGTAAAATGTTTAATCGTATAATGAAGAAAATACTGTGGCACTGTGTTGTGAAGGAGAGATTTTCAGATCTAGATTCAAGCAAGCAAAATACGATCTACACACAATTAGTAGTCTAGTTTCTGCCGAATTCCCTCTGTTCCAACTCCTTCATTCATCTCACAATCTGCAATGTGTACATACAATTCCACCAACTTTCCATTTGAAAGAATAAGACAAATCAGCTCTACACAGCATCCCTATTAGAGAAGTAGTCAATGCAGGGAATTTATTTGATGAGAAGAAACCTCCTGCTCAACCAGACAGTCATGATACCAAAACAAGACAGCTGCAGCATGATCCCAGAGGTAAGACTATCACATCCCTCTACACAACAACATGAGATGTGGGGAGAACCAGTAAAGGGAGGGATGCTCAGAACCCCAGCCAGAGCACACTGGTAAAGGTTCCACTCCCATCAGAAGCTCATCAACTCACATTTATTACCAAGTTGATCTGTGGTCTGTGAGTTAACTACAGCCTAGTCTACATAGCAAGTTCTAGCTCGGCTAGGACTATACTGGCCCTGTCTCAAAAGAACCAAAAGATAAAAGAAAACCCTCCCCTTATGAAAATCTGCGTGAACAAGTTAGAAGGCAAATGGTTACATATTTCATACAAATGTAAGTATCTTTGAGGTTAAACACTCCTGGAAAATTCCCCTTGGTAACTGCTTGGTGAGCAATGCCTTTTGAAGTCACCAATGAAACAAACAGGAGCTGAGATTTCTTGAAGGGACAAATATTCATTTTTTCCCTTATTTACACCTTTTCGCCTGGTTAGCTCCTTCTTGAAATTTCACCGCCTTAGAGAAGCTTTCTCTGAACTGTTCATCCTCTGTGAGTCTGTTCTCTCCTTTTTTGTCAGCGTCTGAAGCTTGTTTACCTGTTTAAGTACATTGCAGTTCACACTATTAACTTCCTTGTTTTCTAAAACTTTCTCTGGCACCACATTAAGCTCCATGATGCAGGAATAACTCCCTTTTGGCCATCACATTCATTGGGACTCAATGACTAGCATGTGGTTACCATCAATGAATATTGGATGTACCAATGGAAAGAACACCTGACTCAAGTAGTTAAGACCTTGCCATTGTTAATGGAGGTTCTACAAAGACTAATTCTTTCTATGATCACATGGAGTAAAAAGAAAAAACTATTTTATATGAAGCCTAGAAAATAAGTAAATATAAATTGACTATATGATTTGATAGCTTCAACATTATAAGTTATAAATACAAAAGATTTTTCCTAAGGCACTTAGACTTTTCTCATTTTAAAAGTATCTCCTCTAATAGAATATCTCTCACCTGAAAAATCAGTGTTATCAAAAGCACAAAATAATGTTCAAATCCCTTTCGAGCCTGTGTTAAATTCAACACAAATCAATAGAATATTTTTAAGGCCAAGTGGAGCCCGTTTTATATTTAGAAGGCAAGTCATTGCATAGAAATATAACCTACACTGTACTTAACATTAAAAAAGAAATGAGCGCCACGCGGTGGTGTCACACGCCTTTAATCCCAGCAGTCGGGAGACAGAGGCAGGCGGATCTCTGTGAGTTCGAGGCTGGGCTGGAGTGATAGCCTCCAAAACAATACAGAGAAACCCTGTCTCGTAAAAACCAAAAAAAAAAAAAAATGAGCATTTTATTCTGTGGCTAATGTGTTATAATAATGAAGTCTTCTTTACAACCCAAGACCAAAACAATGTAAAGGCACAATAAAGAACATTTTGTTGTTGTTTTTGTTTGCTTTATTTTGTATAGTCTTCATATACCAGTAAAAATAAACTCTTTAATAAATAAATATATATAATAAATATTTGTAAATTGAAAAATGTATAAATAGGTCCATTCTTCTAAAAGAACTGTTCCATCTTGGTGTGGCATATTTTGTAGTTCAAAGTCATCTAGAATTTTGATTTTTTGTTTTGTTTAATATATAATGTTATTAACCTGCAGATTTCTACAAGGTCCTCAGAATTTATGAGGCAGTAATTATGTCACCTCAATCTACTTCTTCAACATGAAGTATCTCTTCTTAAAGTAACTGTCCAAGTAAACATTATCCAGAGAGGTGAGACACCAGCAGCAAGGTTCACATTATCCACAGATTAATTGATTTCAGCTTCAATCAACTAGTAAGACTGAGCCAATGAGTCTGAGAAAATATAATCCACTTACAAAGAATCATCCTGCTTTTCTTCAAGTTAATTCCGTATTCTCGATATTCTTCACAAATATAGTCTCTCAGTGAAAAACAGACTCTGTAATGTTCTGAACATTTTCTTCGGTGTTATTTAACTGGCTCTGCGTTGATCAAGTATACATCAGTAGGTCTTTGTATAATTCTGGAACTCTTTCTGGGTCCACTGGTCTTGGTAAGAAATGGGTGAATTTCTGATGTCTTTTGGACCTGGCACCATCTCTTGGAGTTCCATCTTTGTTAAGTGCTACAAAATACCTGCGGCCAGTGTCTCCATGTTTATATATGTTGGATGAATAGGTATTGTACCAGTTCTCTTCAAATTGCTCCCTGAAGATGCATTCAGAAGTCAATTTCTCCTTTAAAAAAAGAGAAGAGAGAAATATAGAATTTTAGAAATGCCTTCAGAATATGTTCCTCATAAAAGTCTCAACTCTATATTATGTCTTTGCTTATAGCTATATCCTTGTAAAGTTAAAAGTTTGATTTTATTTATACATCATCTACAAATTTTCCCTCTGTATCACTTTATCCAATAGTTCAAGGAACTTTAAACCAAATATTCCAACTCTTGATTTTATTTTCAAATATACAATTTTGAGTTTTCCTGTGCTCTGTAAATCACCTTCTCACCACCATCACTAAGCAGTCCCATCATGAGATAGATCTCTGCTATTGAGTTGGGATACTCAAGATCTTGCTATAATTTACATTCCTAACTCAAGTTAATCTCTTCAGATCAGATATCATCTTATAAATGTATTATTCAATGATAAATTCCCCATGATTGGCTTCTGAGTATGTTATTATTAATATCAAGGAAAATTAAGTAGAAGTCCAATGGTTTCTTATATTTTCAAAGTATTCTCTGTGTGTGTGTGTGTATGTATGTGTGTGTCCCATATATATGTATATATAGTGAGACCAGAATTGTTTATTCCAACATACAACATGAATATTGTGTGTACATGCTTTCTCACAATTCTACTAATTGCTTTGTAATTCTATCTTCAGATCACCAGACATTGCATCCTTTTTGTGTTTTTCCAGAACTGAAATGATCAAAATATAGAGGAATTGGAAAGACTCACGACAATGGACAGGAAGACCAGGTGAGATTATGACACTAATGGTTGAAATCTTAAAAGTAATACTGAATGACTATACTATGACCTCAACACAGTTAAATTTAGGATACTGGTTTTTTGGTTTTTTTTTTGGTTTTACAAAACAGGGTTTCTCTGTATTGTTTTGGAGGCTGTCGGGCCAGCCCAGCCTCGAACTCACAGAGATCTGCCTGCCTCTGCCTCCCAAATGCTGGGATTAAAGGCGTGCGCCACCACTGCCCGGCTTATGTCAGTCACATATAATATTGTCTTTTATTGATAGAAATTTTAATTAAAATAATTATTTCAAGAATTATAATAATAATTGAAAATGAAAATACATACTGATCCATAGAGCTCTCCTTTGTCATTCATTCCAAGGTAAAGGCCACTGTCCACACCTCTGATACTGACCAGTCCTACGGCCACACTGATGAATTCCAGGATACCTGAAGTTATAAACAAAATAATGATTTGGACTGATTAATGAACATATAACTGCAGGAAGCACAGAGATAAAGATCAACACATTTAAGCATTCAACAAATAAATGGGAGCTACTGTCATCTTGGATGAATAGCTAACAGAGTTTTTCCTGGTCTTCCATGGCTTGACCAGTTAGCTGCAACCATTTTTCATGAACTATTTTGATTTCATTTACAAGAATCAGACCAATCTCATATACTTCTTATAGGTATAACATTATTTTGAAGCTTTTAAAAGGTAGCTTCTGGAATTATTTTGATGTATTAAAAGATAGACTAATTTTGAAAGCTCTCAACTAAATACACTAATAAACTACAGTTCTAAAAGATACACTGCATTTCCATGTGACCTTTTTTGCTGTACACACTAACCTTTAGACTAATGGTGCCTTTTTCTGGTTCTTCCCTTAAACTGCTGGACAAGTGTCGCCATACATACTGTCCTCGGTTGGATCCTTAATTGCTTTTTGCCTTCCCTCACCCCAAGCTTTACAAATAGCATAAATGTGTACCATTCGGCCTTACTCTTGCTCTTAAGTCCCTTCTTGATTTATTGTCAAGTTCCTGTTTGGATACATGATATCCCCAAAGACAGGAGAAAGTACAGAATCTGACTGTTTGCTGATATGGAAATCTCTCTTCTACCAGAGATTAATTTGCTCTTTAGCAAAACACAACAGCAACAACAGATTCTTAATAAGACAGATAAGCTCTTTGGAACTATTAGGACTTTCAGACTACTAGAACTCTAGAGCTATCAGGGATCTTACAGCACAAAACACTACTAAATAGCCTGACTTGGAAGAGCCAGTCTCCCTGAGAAAGAGGCTGAAGCAGGGAAGATGAGACACAGCAGGAAGGTCTAAACTCTACAAGACACAAGCACAATGGCAACTGTGGCATGGGGGAGTGGAGGAAAATCACACTCACTGCCAAGCTTCCCAGTGAAAGATCCATGTAAGGAACAAAAATACAAACCTGAACCATAATTGGCATAAATATATGTGTATGGAATCTCACCCAGGATATAATTATAAATGGATAATTGCTTTAAATTATATTGAATATTCACTCAAATTAAAAAGATGTGTGGCTGTTGGGCACCCAATCTTTCTACCCCAGGACACACTCCGCCTACACATTAAATCTTATCTTAAGATAATGCCGTCCAAAATATGTAATTACATAACTAAAATGGTTACACATGCCTTTAGAATAATTATAGTCAATAGTTTTAACTTTATTAAACAACATGTAAAACCTTATACATAATCAGGCATAAATGATTTTGCAATTTTTCATGGAACTGATGGGGAAAAGATTACGTGTGTTTTTGTGTCCCTCCTAAAGATTTTAGCCACACTTTTAAATTTTGATCCTTTTTCTCTCCAAAGAAATAGTATACCACATAGTAATTTGTAATCGTTTGATTCTTAAATGAGATTTGACAAGTCTTTCTTATTTATAATATGAGGTGGCAACTGAGCTAATTCTTTTCCAAAGAATAGACATGAAGCACTTTCCTTAAGAGGTAATCACAGATTTTAGGTAGATTTTCTAATGCCCAGTGTCCCAGAAAAAGACTTGGAGGTCCTTTGTCTTTCTGGTATCGTTTTCAAAGCCAGCCTTTTCTCAAATCATAATAAACAGGTGAGTCAACCCACAATGCAACCACATCAGACAAATCCATGGAGAATAGAGGCGAATAAAGGAAAGGGCTTTAAATGAATATGTTTGATCTCAGGCTACACTTTTTTCCAAAGGAATGATTCTATGTTTACGTGTTAGGTAAAGTCTTCCTTCTATACTACTGTGCAGAGAAACTCTGCTAGAGAGATCCAGGTAGCTCAGATGGGATATTATTTTAGCCTCACTGAGAACTCTATTTATGTTCAATTGATATGGTCTTAAATTTTTAAAAATTGAGTTTATATTTGTTGTGTTCAAATTACTATAAACTTATTTTAGTGGTATTTAATATCTAAAATAGCCATCCTTGAGGGGTTTTTTTCAAAATTCTTATTTTAACATCACAGAAGTGAGTTTATTTTAATGGATATCATTTGACACTTAGTTATTAAGAAACTAGCAAAAGAGGATGGAGAAGCACACTATGTTGCCTACGTTAAATATGACCTTGTCCCATATCCTCTGGCAGTCAGTAGTGATGTCTAGGCCACTCAGAACACTTTAATGTATCATAAAGAGGCTGCTCCTTTAGGCTCACGTATCAATACGGGTTGCCCTTTTACATAACAGTCGTTATTTTGTTTCTCTACACAACCCCCCACTAAAGCTTGACTTAAGTCAGCACAGAATCAAAGTTATATTTTCCTAAAGAATCATATAAGCTTTATGTGCCAGTGTACTAGCAAGAATATGCCACACCCATTCCTAAAGGATCAGATTTCAATACAGCTCAATGAAGGTTAGTCGTCTGCAAGTATTCACTAATCCCTTCCAGTAGAATCTGTCTTCTAAGGAGACAGAACACCACAGTGGAAGAGATGACAACTACAGTACAAGTGACTTGTAGGAAGAATGTCCTTACTGCATTGGTGTGAGGGAGAAAGGTCGGATATTGCTTACATTTAGCCCCCAGCTCGCTCCTTTTCCTGAAAGAGCTACTACATCTGGGGAGAATTTTATGTGATGAGTCGAGGCCGTTCATCCTTAAGGGACAACGAGAACTGGGTGCTTGGTGTCAGCAAATTCATATTATCAGCCTCCTCCATTTAAAAAACACTTTCCAAAAGTGACCCCAGGTTGGCCACTAGGTCATGACACTCTTGACTCACAGTTAGTGGGAATTTGGGAGAGATCAGTGGAAGCTGCAAACACGTGGGTTTTTAAAAGTCGGGTTTCTAAGCCCTTAAGTGCTGCCAAATGACCACCACATGCTTACTCCCCCATCTAAGGTTACACGCGCTCCTGGGGTGGAGATTTACACTTCTCCAGAGTTTTAATGAGCACTACAAGTGCAAAAGGAAATGGGGGTGTAAGAATAAGATGGGGGTGACAAGAATGAGCGACTCCGAGATGAGATGGTGCTTCCTCATGCTGGTGACAAATAAATGATGTTACGTATTTTTTAAATATAATCACATCACAGGTTAAGTAAGGAAAGTTCCTTGAGCCTGATAGCAGCAAGTTAACTGATGGGGGAAAAAAAAACGTAGCCTCAGGAGAGGGAAGTATCCCAGGATATTAGAATCAGAAGGCCCCTTTAACAAGCCATAGGAGTTAACCTATCATGTCTGTTGATCAGGCAAGAAAGCAGGACACACAGCGAGGAGGGTGCTTGCTAGTTACCTGGCTGGACCGGGAGTAATTAACTGTAGAAACTGTACTGATCTAATCTAAAATCAGCTTCATCCTATTAACCCCTTCTGCTCCCGGGCACAGCTGACTGGCTGTATATAGAAAAGATTCTCTGTGTTCCCAGACATATCTTCTTTCGCTTTCCCATTTCCTCTTACCTAAGGTCAATACCAAGATCTCTGCTTTCGCAGAGAGTTTCGCAATTTCTAAAGGGAATCTTGGCCAGGTGGGCATGCTCCATCCTTCTCCCTCCTCCCTCTATCCCTCTCCCTCCCTCTAGCCAGGAGCTCAGAAAACTGCTCAGGCAATTCTCTAAGTAGAACCATGAAGATTGACATCCTGTTTAAGAACCATCCCTTCAGAGTGAGACTTCGGAGGACTAGCTGCGTAACTGCGGGGCATGTTTTAAGAACCAGAATGCTTCCCGTTAATAATTTTCAAAGAGTGGACATAGAATTACAAGTGTGGAAAGAAGAGAACACGATGTAGGAACGTCTTAAAATAATAAAACTGCCTGCGAAGCAAGGACTTCGGGGCAAGGATAGGGGCGGGGGGGGGGGTGAACAGATTTCCTAGTCCAAGACTTGGGTCCCCCAGGCAGTAGAGAAAACAGGGTACCGTCGTAGCCTCCCCCCCCATCCCCACCCCCCGTGAGGAACATGGCCATCCAAGCTTTCTCTTCCACTCCTGCACGAGAAACTGGACTCCTCCAGGCCAGGACAATTTCTCACCAGCCCAGGGTCCAGCACCTCGCACCCACTGGGTGCAAGGGTCTCATGCTCCCTCCGGCAGCGTGGAGGGAGGGAGATGAGAAGAGAAGAGGATGGGAGTTGAGGGCACAAGGGTGGGATGCTTGCTTGTACCTACCGAAGAGACTGTGATCCTGCCGGGTGCCCTGCACGCTGCCGTCGGGCAGGATCTGCAGGTGGAAGCCGGTGCGGCAGTAAAGCTGCCGCCGGCGCAGGATGCCATGCAGGTGCGCCAGCTCCACCGAGCCCGGCCCGCCGCCTCGGGCGCCCCGCTCCAACGCGCCCCGCCGCTCGCCTAACAGAGGCGGCCGCTCCCCTGCAGGAGGCAGCAGGAAGTGTGACCCCACCTGCTGGCCCAAACCCTCCAGGCCGCCCAAGAAGGCCCCGACTTCGGTTAAGGGAGCCATGGAGGGGCCCCACAGGAAGGTGGAATTTCCGGAAAACAAGAGAACCCCAATAAAAAGTGGAGCGAGGGTGGCGAGGGTAATGTAGAAAAATTATAGCAAAACAGGCGCAAAAAGTTAATGCTGGGTTACTCCTGTGAGGTCTCTGCAGGGACAGTGCTCTGCAATGTCTTGGAAGCAATCTTCTCTCCTTGGGTAGGTGAGAGCTGGCTGCTGGCTTTGCAGAAACATCTAGAGCTGAGGCTGTTGATTTGGGGCTGGGGCTGGGGGCTGGGGCTCCAGCTCAGCAAACTGATCAGATCAGAGTCCTGTGTACACATACACTCCTGGTATATATGCGGGTCCTCTTGACATATGCTAATCAAGTTCTTTCATGCGCGCCTAGGAGGTTGGTTTTGTTTGAAATCTTAAACCAGCCTCCTCTCAACGCGTTTTTGCTCTTCGGAAGTGACTAAACCGAGCACTTGGAAAACTCATTCCTGCGCTTGGCCAAAGTCAGTCAGCCAACAAATTCGGGGAGGCTCAACCGACACCCCTGGTATTCTGGGTTGTCTCTGGGACAACCACGATGTTGCCAGGTCGCTGCTGTACAACCACCTTTGATGTGAGCCCATTTGCAGAGATAGACGGCTGGGAGAAGGAGCCAAGCTTACAGGATACAGAAGGGGGAGGGGACACAGAACCGGAGATGGGTGGGAGGAGGAGAAAGAGAGTACAAGAGAATGGGACTCCTTGGGGGCTGCTGGGAGCCTGCAGTGGACAGGTGCAGAGAAAGGCAGGGAGGGAGAAGGGGAAAAGGCGTTACCCGAGGCTTAGGCCTGCCTAGACACACATGAAAGGAAAATCAAAGCTTTGACAGTTTAACTCACTAATTTTCAAACACTAATAAAATGTACAAGCATTACTCTCTTCTTTTATCATTTAGATGGGGGATTTTCTTTACATAATCAAACTTAGGTTGGGAACACCCTGCCTCCCTTCTCAACTTCTCTTTAATGTTTATCTTAACTCAGCAAATGATATAACCAGGATTGCTTTATATCTATGTGGAACTCATAAATTGTGTGGGGAGGTCCTGGGCTTCTCATTGGAATAATAAAACAGCACAGTACAATCATGAATCGAGGGATTATAAGTACACCCGAATAGGCTGGTTCACAGTCTTATAATTTGCTGTGGATACAAAATAAGTGTCTAGAATAGTGTCATCAATGATGGAACCCTCGGGGCCCTTATCCAATCTACCACCACTTCCTTTTTTTTTTTTTCCCCGCTGCAATTTCCTGGAAGCTAGCCTTGGTTTTTTGGTTTTGTTTTTTTTTTTTTGGTTTTTTGTTTGTTTGTTTGTTTGTTTGTTTGTTTTAATTCACTCTCCAAGAACACAACTAAACAGAAATAGTATTGGTTCTCGATAAGTGCTTGGGATTTCAAATATAGCTGATAAAAGTTAGGAGTGCCGAAACACTTCTACAGACTAAAGATTGACCTGATGGAGTTAGAGATAAGTCTACTTAAATGCTAAAACTCTGTAAGCCTAGCTAGCCTCCAGATTTAGCTAGTGAAACGTGTGACAGAGAGGTTGAGAATCACTGGTCAGATTTATCCTTTCCCTATGCAGAGGGTTTTTAAGAATGGCTAATATTAGACTTTCAGTCTCTTTGGTGCTCTGTTCAGCAAAAGCCGAACCCTGGGAGCTCAGATGGATTTGACTGGTTTATTTTATTTTCTCTAAATGTCTCCTCCCCCATCCTCTTCCTCCTCCTTGTCACCTTCTCTCCCTCCTCCTTCCCCTCCTCCTCCAGCTCCTTTGGACAATTAATTGGCAGGTGCTTTAAAGGAGGTAAAGTTACACTTTTTTTGTCACTACAGGCCTAACTACTGACCCTTGTGGAACCCAGCTATAAAAGAGCCCTTAGAGCAAGTGATTTACTGTTGATAGACACAAAATAAAACTACAGCCCACGCTATAAACAGCAAGCAGATCAATTACTTTAGAAACATACATTGATAAGTCTCTTTTAAAGGTTGTACCAGGTAAATGTCATATTATTTTACCTTTCCGATAACAGCAGCCTGTTTTGTGGTGGGACCCCCAAATCCACCATAATCAAGATTTCAAAGCACATCTGTGTAAACATCATCACATCAGTGTAAAGCATCAGCCAATGAGCTTTTACTTTGAAGCAAATCTTCTTAATTGCAGTGTTAAATCAAAGAAAGTTAGATCAAAGTTGTGTGAATCTCATAGCGGGATAACTCAGGTAGCCAGAGTATACACATTGATCACTTTTAAAGAGGGGATGCTTAAAGGTTTTAAACTGAGATCAAGTGCCTTTTAATGAGGTTTGTTTCAAGATCTAAGTTCTATGCAACATATAACACTGTTGATATTTCACAATGAATATATTATTGCCACCTGCTCCTAGAACTATTGGTTCATGTGGTTCCTCACATGAACACCTTCAATGGTGGTGTGTAATTCATAGCTATTAGAATTCTTAAATCTCTTGCATTGCACACACACACACACTTTTCAAGCATAGTCTCCAACGCTCAAGTACTGTAATAACAGACCTCCCTTGTCGTTGTGTGTCTTAGCATTTTTCTGTGTTTTTCTATCACCAAAAGACAGGCATAACCAGGTTATTGAGGAGGAAAGTCCTGTATTCCATTGGGTTTTAGTTCAGAGTCTAACATCATTTATTTGTAAAATAAAGACAGCACCACTCCATAGTACTCAAGGTTGCTATGAGACATAAATGTGAAAATACACAATGGAAAGAGGTTTTAAAACTATAAGGTTTCCTCTGTGTATAAAGTCCAGCACAACTTCAATTGTTGGGCAGGCTTTTTGTTTTGTTTTGTTTTGTTTTGTTTACTTTGTAATTCAGCAAATCCAATTTGTCTGAAATGCAAAATAAACCTTTTTAAACCCAAACCAAAGCTTTAATGTGCTAGTCTTGAATGGTGCTTAATGCTATTTTATAAAAGACCAGAATAGAAACGAAAAGATAAGGATTTCTTTTGTTTGCTCTAGTCATGTGACAGGAAAAGATAACGCTAAAGATTTTTTTTGCACATGCTGTGATGATATCATGGGAAGTTAAATAATTTTGAAGAGTGTTTTACAAGGGTACATTATTCAACGTTTAAGTATACACTGCAATCTAATCAACGTTACCTATGCTTCCTAGAGACCCCACTTGCCTTGCTGTTATACAAATATATGGCATGATTTTTCCTTACACAAAATGCAGTTTCAGTTTTCCATACCATATAATCCTATACACCTTTTCAGTCAGCAGACTCTCGGTAAACATTTGTTTTCAGACATTCGATGATTCTATATGTGCTTCACTTAAGAAAAAATAACTCACTTAAAAGTCATGATTCCCACCTTAAATAAAACAAAACTCCCATGCACAACATTTATAAAACATTGGTAGCAACATAAATTTCTGTATATAATAAACTGATTGAATAAATATGAGGCATTATATAGATGGTTAAAAATTAGAAATATATGTAGAAGTAACCTCCATTTTCTTTAGAATATAATATAAATTAAGAAGTTTAAAACAAAAGATTATATCCAGAGTGCTATCTTTTCTTTAAGAAGGAAAGTAAAAAGAATTTTACCTGTGTATCTATTAAAAATAAATGAATAAATTAATTCGAAACTAATAAAACTGGTACCTATGGAAAAGAGAGTAGATGGAAGAGAGACTACACACTACACTTCTCTGAGAACTTTTTATAGAACTTCAACTTTTTAAAAGGTATTTTTCTTACAAGTAAGATAAAATAAGCAAAGATGATTAAGTAGAATAAAATCCGGTACAAATGAACCTAGCTGTATGGATTAAAACAAACCGAGAAGCACACAAGAAAAGACATTACTTTCAGAAAATAAGCAGCTCTGCAGAAGCAGTTATTTGGTATATAATCCTGTTCTAACCACCTAAATAAATAAACATTGAACTTGAGTGAGAAAGACTTTTCCCAGCAGTACTAGTTAAAGAATGCAGGACTAAAGAAATGGATAACTAAACTGAGTATGAGAGCAGGGTTTACGTAAGTTAGAACGGAAGACTAGAATTTACTCAGTAGTGTTGAATTACAAGTGGTTACCAGTGTTAGCTTGCTCTCCCCTCTCTCTCCCTCTTCCTCTCCTTTCTTTCTCCTTCCTTCTTTCTCCCTTCCTTGTCCACCTGTATCCTGTGGTGTGGTGTGGTGTGGTGTGGTGTGTGTGTGTGTGTGTGTGTGTGTGTGTGTGTGTGTGTGTGTGTGCAATGCAAGAGATTTCAGAATTCTAATAGCTATGAATTACACACCACCATTGAAAGTGGTCATGTGAGGAAATACATACTAAACCAATAGTTCTAGCAGCAGGTGGCCATGGTATACATAATGTACTATAATACAGTACATCAATCTAGTGACTACTGTTCTACCTGAGCAGTAATCACAGCAATGTGACAGATAAACTCCAGTTTCCTCTTTTGCCTGAGAGAAAAGTTTAAGTGAGAACAGCTTTCTTTGGCTCCTGGTTTCAAAGGGTTCCGCCTTTAGTTGCTTGGCCTCACATGTTTAGGTAGAACATTGTATTTATTTTTAATAAATACACATTGTAGTCATGTGTGGTGAAGTTTACCTCATGACAAATGGGATGCAGAGTGAGAGGAGATAAAGAAAGAGTCCAGGGCAAAATCTAGCCCCTGAAGATAATCGCCTACTTTCTACCTTTTACTACTTCCCAATAAAACTGTCACGTTATGATCTAAGCAAGGGACCAATCAGAGCCGCCATGATGCAGTCCTTTCTGGAAACATGAGTGGTGTGTTTTACTAATCACCATACTATCTATCAGTCTTGTCAAGTTGACAATAACAGTAAGATCATGGACCCTACTGAAGAGCACAACGCTACTGTTGTATTTTTCCAGTCAAAACTTCATAACCTGACATCATCAGGCCGTCAAATAAACTCCAACTGAGGGCAGT